ATATTTTCTTATGAAAGATGCTTGATTATCCATTAGTTATTTGTTTAACAGTCTGTTTACGAAAGGTTGAGTTATCCCAGGAAAATCCTATATTTTCCTTAAAAGTTGATAATTGGTTATCTGTTCTTGTCTGAGGTGTACAAGTATCTACCATACTTGTATCGTTAGACGTAGTTTTCTTGAAAAACCCTGTTTGCTCCCTGTGAGGTGTGTTAGCCTTATTACATAAATAAAACTAATAAATAAGTGGTGAACTAAATCCTAAGGGTATTATTAATACCCTCTAGTAATCGAATCGGTTATTACTTTGAGGTTAGTTCACTTGATTTATTATTACAAAAGTAAATCTCTGTTATCTAGGTTGCAAGTTTTATAACCATACATTAAACTTGATATGGCACGTAACGGGGCCAGTATCCTTTTATGACTTTGTCACCCCAGGCATGGCTGCCTGACTGTAGCTAGCAGTTTAGGTGCGGGATAGTCGGTCCCGTATAGATCTATACACAACAATCACGCTCTCCCTACAAGAGATTCTGGTTATAAGTGCTAGTCCTACACTCTCGAATCCGGTGGGAGTGTTACCAAGGACGTGTCTCCAACTTTAGACTAACAATTTGCATGTAATAATACTAAAAATCTTGTTTATGTTTTGTATGAATCCTTTATAAAATGACACATTTTACGATATGATTCACGAGTTTGTTGCTTTAGTTTTGAAAACTGTTTCTACGAGTTGATTTCTTAATCGTTTGGTAAAAACTGTTTCCCATGTTAAAAGCATATTAGAAATATAATTATCTTAAACAAAATAATATATTTTGAGCACAAGTTTCCTTGTACTTTTGCTTGTATTCCCCTCCTGAAAACATGAAAAACTCGGAAAAAGCGTAGGGTATGAACTCACTGTTGGTTAGATGCAAAGGATTGAACTGGACGATCCTTGAGTTGTTGTACGTTGCACTTAACGGAAATCCTAATATCAAATAAATACATATATGTATCTAAATTAGCGATTTCGTTAGATAAAGTGTTAGATAAACACTTGTTTTTGGTTAAGGAATGTTACCGGAACTTGGTTGAATTGAGAAAATAGGCTTTTCCCCACGAAAGAGCTGTTTATGGTCGTGAATGGAGTTTACGGTCGACATACCGTGAACAGGGTTTACGGTCGACAGACCATGAACAAGGTTTACGGTCTATGAATTTACGGTCTATGAAGATGGATGAGTTTACGGTCGCAACTGGTTTACGGTCTATGAAGATTGACCGTAAACTCAAGAACAATGGTGCTTGTTTTCAACGAAAAAGTGTTCCAGAGGCTCCCAAACGGCCCCAAATGACGATTTCCGACATTTTTTGGGTGAAAAGAGGGCTTTTTGGTGTTTACGGTCAAAAGGTTTTGAGAGAGAAAGGGGGTGTTTCCGGTCAAGAAGGTTCAAATGAGGGTGAGGATCCAGTATTTATAGGCTGGGGGTTTGGTCGGTGGTGGGGTCCACCTGGCACCGACCGTAAACGGGTTTACGGTCCGACCGTAAACTCGTCCTGACCGTGAACTCGGTGATTTTCGAGATAGTTTCGAGTCTTTCGCGCGATTCCCGGTTTATTCCGACTCGTATAAATACATATTATTTATTTAAAATTTAGGGTCCTTCCCAAACTAAGAAATTGACGGAAATTAAATAAAAACCCAAATTTTATTAACGGAAACTGGGTAAGGATAACGGAAAAAGTTTCGGGTTGTCACAAAATATTATCAAACATAAAAAATCATTCTAACATTTAAAAGATGGCTCTGATACTACTTATAAGTTTTGATACTAAATATAAGTGTGTTTTTCATAAAAACCGGTCAATGGAAGCGTTAAAAATAACAAGTTTATTTTTAAGTTTATAAGAAAACCAAACCATCTAGGATCCATTTATAGAGGTTAGAATGATATTAAAACAACCAAAGAGTGTTTTAGAATGACAACCTTTGAAGCATTTGAACCCACTTGGTTTTGGGGTGTTGATGAAGATAGAAAAATCAAAGAGTATGATTTTCTCTACAAGTATCCACCATCAAGATTAAGGCACTTGGAATGCTAGTTTCTTCTTGTATTCTTGAGTGCATTAATCTTTTAAGTACTTAACTCAAATAAGCACTAAAGTAGACAACTCAAGAGAGCTTCTAATTCACCAAACTAGCTTATAAAGAGATAAAGGTGTTGGAAGAGAATATTTTTCGTCCGTAGTAGAGAAAGACTAGAAAAACTATTCAAAACTCATGCAAAAACATTCATTTTTATAATCTCATGCAAGACATACGTTTATATTATAATAATATAAAGTATTGATAGCCTTTAAGAGGCATGGGGACATAATAAGAAAGTTGACAAGCAACCTTTCTTATTATAATAATAATTTACGTCATGCCTTTAAAGAAGACAAAAATTGTCTAACTAGTAAAGTAGAAGGATTGTTTAAATTTTATAAACTCCAAGTTTATAAAATATAAACTTTGTCTTTAGGTAAAAGACAAAAGTATTCAACTAGTCCAAAACTTTGTACATGACTTATTAAATCATATCATATTATATAATAACTAGTTATACTCTCTTTTAATTGTTATTTCACAAAACAATAATTATTCCCTAATTAAATACGAGAATTGATATTATTTATTAATAATCATATTAATAATAAATATACAAAATGTGTCAACTTGATAAATGTGCGACCCTATACGATCATATATTATTAGCAATATCACTTAATAATGATTTTTGGTCATATAGATTTAACAAAAATAGAATATGAAAACGGAGATGTGATGAAAAGAAGATAGTTCATTATATATATATATATATATATATATATATATATATATATATATATATATATATATATATATATATATATATATATATATATATATATATATATATATATAGGGAGATGATCAAATGAGAACACCTAAAAGGTTGAGAACGCGAGAACAGTTCTGGACCAACCAATATATAAGGGCATATTAGTAACTGTATATTTTAATTAAATTAAAATTAAATCAAATTCAATCAAATTCCCTTAAATTTAGGATCGGTTACCAAAAAACAAAGAAATATTCAATTTTTTATTTTTTTATTAATGGAATATAAAAAACGTTTTTAGTCAAATTTATTTAAAATCTAAAAAAAATCTTAAAAAAATCATTTTATTCTCCTATTTCATGTTTTTGTTTTTCAAAAAAATGAATAGAAATCCAATTTCAAATCAATATACTTGTATTCACAAACGAAATGTTTCTTCAAAAAACCAAATACTACTCCAATCACAAATGAATACACATCAAATTACAAATAATTCAATGCCTTTTTCATCAATTGAAATGAATACACTACTATTCATAAATAAATACAATCATTTATACATTAATACACTTCTATTCACAAATGAATACACTGCTATTCATAAATTAATACACATTCTATCATAAAATGCATACCTCTAATCATAAATAAATACACTCATTCACATGAATACACTAAAATTCATAAATACGTACAACCATTCACACATGAATACATTGCTATTCATAAATAAATACACTGCTATTCATAAATAAATACACATTCTATCATAAACAAGTACAATTCCCTTATTTAACAGAACATGCAAAAACCTTCATAAATTTGAATTTGAAACCTTTCATCAAACAATCCCTTCACATCTTCAGAAAAACATTTCTCTCTTTCTTCCTTATAAACCTCACCATCTTTTGAAATTAAAGGAAGCCTCAGTCTCAGAGCAGCTTGAAATGTATTCCAATTGAAGGAAGAACAATTTCATTTTCCTGTGTCGTTTAAGATGGATGTCCGATTGCAATATTAAGAGAAAGGTGGAATGATTTCATCTTCGGAAATGATGAATCTGAGTTCTGGAAACAATAATGTGGGTGTGAGATTATAACTTAAGAACTTTAGATTATTTGACAATAAAATAAGTGAACAAAAGGTTAATACAACCTTTATTTAATTGTCTTTCAGAAGTACAGGATGTCCAAATTCATCCATGAATCATCCAAAGGCAAGTTTAATTGGTTAAACCACTCCAGCCATCAAACTAAACCAAACGACCAACAATTGATGCTACAATTGAAATGAAATAAGCGAACAAAAGAAGGAAGGATTTCACCTGTCTTCAGCAATGATGAATCTGAGTCCCAAATCTGGAAACAATAGCTAGTTCGAAAGAGAAAGACGGAATGATTTCATCTTCTTGTGTGTTTCAAGACGGATATCCGATTGCGATCTGAACCAGGTACACACCTCCCTCTCGGTTTTCCATGAATCGATTGGAGGTCCGATTGAGATCGAATTATAGGAGGCCGATTGGAAATCTACTTGCAAGTCTGATTAGGGCTACGAAAATCGAAGGTGCGGTGGAGGTAGGCTAAGAGATGAAGATATCTTGAACATTGATGGGTTTCTCATCTTGAATCGAAGATGATGATGGAGGTTAATTGTTAAACCCGATGCTAGCGATGGTGGTGGATCAATGATGTAGGGCTGTGCAAAATTGGTGGCGTAGGGATGAGATGATGATGATGAACAAATGGAGACGGTGGAGGCGTACCTAGGTTTACAGATAGATGAAGAGAGAGACGGGAAATGGAAGGAAATAGGTGATTGATTGAGGAATTATAGGAATTAACTAACGGTCTTATAGGTCCAATTACTATAATACCCTTATCACCATTTAAAGTTACACTTTAATACCTATAACTTTTAGAATTTTACATAAATTGCTCGTTTGATAATAGCCTTAGATTTAATTATTTAAATGGGCCAAATGTGTTCTCGCGTTCTCAACCTTTTAGGTGTTCTCATTTGATCCTACTCATATATATATATATATATATATATATATATATATATATATATATATATATATATATAGAAAGAGAGAGAGAGAGAGAGAGAGAGAGAGAGAGAGTATGTGTGTGTGTGAGGGAGAAAATGGGAGACGAGGATGGTACATACCTATTCCAATGGTATTGGTGACAATAGTGAGTGGATGGTGGTATGATCGATGGTACGGATAGAAAATATATGATATTAAATTGAAGAAGTTCCATTTTCCTTGATACAGACTTTAATTAAGTTCATTTTTGGTTTAGTATTATGATGAACTGAATATGGAATTTAGAGAATAATTTGATTATATGCTTCGGACAGGAAGGTATCACTAAAAGTGAAATGGAAGTTTTATGCAGTAGCTATTATCTTTGTGATGATGTATAGATCTGAATGTTGGTCTAGAAAAAAGGAACACAAGAGGAAGATGTAAGTAGCTAAAATGAGGATGTGGAGGTGAACCTATGATAGAACTTTCGTAGATAGGATACCAAATGAAAGGATAAGAAATTTATAAGGAATAATGAGCATCACTAATAGATTAAGGTGACATGAGTATATCCAAAGGAGGCTACCACCGATGATAATGAGGAGGGTAGAGTCAATGATGCTTAAAGGTAAGAAGATGAGAAAACACCATGTTAGGAAGTGGGAGGATACTATGAAACTAGACATGAAGGAACTTGCTCTCTTCGAGAACATGACCTTAGATAGGAAGGTGTACATGGAGGCTAAGCATTAGGGTATATTAGTAGCCTACCCCTTGTATTGTGTTATTTTTTATGTTTATTGTTGATACATGCTCCATGTAAAATGTATGTACATACACATCATTTGAAAAAAAATCAAATGATGTAAAACATATGCATATACAAAAATGGGCATATGTGCACATATTCATTATTTATATGTAAAATGTATGTATATACACATCATTTGAAGATCTCAAAAAAGCTAATAGGGACCAAATATGTTAAAGTTAATGATCTCGTTATCTTTACTATATGTAAGTGTTTTATAGGGACCAAATATGTTAAAGTTTTTTTGTAAAGATCTAATCCGGAACTTTTTGACAAACTATAGCCAAGTGACAACCGCGTTATGAGTTATCAATTCTGACGAGAGGTGAACCGACTTAATTTTTGGAATCTCGCTATTTAACCCAAATTCATCGCTATTTTTCACCCTAATTTGAGAAATTAAGTCGTGGGCTGCTCCTTCAGCCTACAAATTGAACGGATCCTAGGAGTCCATATCCATTAGGGTTTTCGTTTTTCTTCACACATCTTCTTTCTTCTTCTTAGTCGCCTAAAGCAAACCCCAATTCGATAGGTCCAATACACCAATTTGTTACCACGGGTTCAAGCCCAATCCCATCCCCATCGTCGAAGAAACGTTTCTGGATCACGAATTGCAGGCTGCATCTTGGATTCTATCGGTTTTGATCGGTTTTCGTCGACCTCAACCATCACGGTATATATATTTAAATCTTTCTCGAACTCTAACCCTCTTTCGTTTTTCGTATATATATTGCTTGTATTCACTGTAGTTGCTCGTTTACCCTAATTCGCTGTGTTTCATGAAAGTCTTGATTAATGGATTATTAATTAATTATGTAAATAAAGTAATGTGTTTAAACAGGATGGTTGTTTCTTCTAGTTCTTGTTCGTGTTTTGTTAATCAATATATGCCACCATCTATCTTCATCTTGATTTTGATATGATAATGTCTTCTTGATTTGTTTGAGCTTATAGCTTTCGGATTCCATAGTCACCCAAGTATTGACGATGAAAAAACCCTAGATCTATTTATGCTTAGTCAGTATAATACTGACAACTCAATCAAAATGTAGTCTTTACATAAATCTTTAATCTGTGTTTGATAATTATCTGCTTTTGAGTCTAATTTCTTCTTTAATCTCTATATCTGTTTAATTATCTGCTTTAAACCAGGCCCTCATGGAGATTACACCTATGGAAATTAACCCACTAGTCAACATAGAAATGCAACCAGAATATTTTGACACACCATTGGATGAAATGGACATGGACATGGACACAGAGCAACCTACCAAAAGAAGAAAAAAGAAATCAATAGTTTGGGAATTTTTCACAATTGTAAACGTGGGTGAAGGCGTTAGAAAGGCCTGTTGTAAACACTGCAAACATTTATTCTCATACGGAAAGGGCTCAAAAGTTTCGGGCACCAGCCACCTCAAACGCCACATCGCCAAGGGCGGCTGCCCGGTTGCCCTACGTGACCAAAACCTTGACCCGTTAAACCCATTGGCAGTGACCCCAACGATCAAAACACCTAAACGCCGGTACAGAACCACCACCACCGCCGCCACTGCCGCCCCATACACCGCCTTCAACCCCGCCACATGCCGCCAAGAAATGGCCCGAATGATCATACTCCATGACTACCCACTTGAAATGGTGGAACATCCAGGGTTCATGGCTTTTGTTCATAACTTAAATCCCGGATTTGAAATTGGTAACTTTGGTAGAATTCAAGGCGATTGTGGGGCGACTTATTTGAAATTAAAGGAAAGGATTTGGAATCTGATTGAAGGAATGCCGGGGAATATTTCTCTCACACTTGACTTATGGAACTCTTCACATACAACTGGTTACATTTTTGTAACCGGACAATTCATCGATAGCGACTGGAAAATGCATCGGAAGCTACTAAACGTCGTAATGGAACCGTACCCCGATTCCGATTCCGCCTTCTCCCATGCCGTTTCCGCTTGTCTTTCCGATTGGAACATCGAAGGGAAACTATTCTCCATCACTATAAACCAGCCCGTTAGTGATTCCGGCCTCGATAGTCTTCGAAATTTAATCTCTGAAAAGAACCCAAATGTCCTTAACGGTCAATTACTCCTCACAGACTGCTTGGCCCGTTCTTTAATGTTTATCGCGCAAGGCGCGATAAACGCGGGCCAAGAGACTGTGAAGAAAGTTAGAGACTGTGTGAAGTACGTGAAAACATCGGAATCATTAGAAGAGAAGTTTGTTGCTTTAAAACAACAACTTCAAGTAATGAGTACTAAATCTTTATCACTCGATGATCAAACACAATGGAATACAACTTACGAAATGTTGGTATCGGCATCGGAGTTGAAAGAAGTGTTTTCTTGTTTGGATACTTTAGAGCCCGATTACAATAAAATCCCAACTCATGAAGATTGGAAAGTTATCGACAATCTTTGCACGTATTTAAAGCTATTTTACAATACTGCAAATCTGCTGACATCATCGAGTATACCTACGACTAATATGTTCTTTCATGAAGCATGGAAGATTCAGTTAGAACTCGCCCGGGCCTCCACTAGTGAAGATGATGTCATTAGCAACATTACAAAACCGATTCAAGAAAATTTCAATAAATATTGGAAAAATTGTTGTTTGGTTTTAGCGATTGCAGTTGTTATGGATCCGAGGTTTAAAATGAAGTTGGTTGAATTCAGTTTTACAAAGATTTATGGGGAGAAAGCGGTTTCTTATATAAACACTGTGGATGAAGGGATTCATGAGCTTTTTTCAAAGTATGCCGGACATCCTTTGCCACTCGCTTTACTAAATGGGGACTCTGGAATCGGTGATTCCGGAGCTGTGAAACAAGAAGATGATGCGGGTGTGGGAGGTTTAGGGAATGGGCTTGGGCTTACGGATTTTGATGTTTTTATTATGGAGAGTACGAGTCAGCAATCGAAGTCGGAATTGGATCAATATTTGGAGGAGTCGCTTTTGCCTAGGATCCATGAGTTTGATGTTATGGGGTGGTGGAAATTGAATAAGAGTAAGTACCCGACTTTATCGAAGATGGCTCGTGATATTTTGATGATTCCGGTGTCGAGTGTGGGTCCGGAATCGGTGTTTCAGACGGGTGTGAAGGAAATGGATCGGTATCGGTGCGAGTTGAGTCCGGAGATGGTGGAGGCGCTTTTTTGTGCGAAAGATTGGATGCGTTGTGAAGGGGTGGAGAGTATGGAGTCGAATGTGAAGATGGAGTTTCCGATTTAGTATTGGAGTTTGATGTTTAGATTTTTTTTTTTTTTTTTTTTTGTTATTTAGGTTGTGTTCATTTGTGCAGGATATGGAAATAAATAGGTTTGAGTAAGATTGTTGAGTTGTGTGTGTCTTGAATTTGAATTGGAGAGGCTGTGTCTGGATTGGTGATTTGGAATGAGTTGTGAATACTTGGATGGAATCGTGTTTGATATGATGGAATTGGTTAGAGAGTGGATGGTTTATTGACTTTATTCTATTGGATTTGTTTTGTTAAGACTTAATTGATCAAACCCTTGTTAAAGAATGTCATTACCTTCCTTTTTTTAGTTCTAGAAAATTCATCTTCTTAGTTTTCATTACTAACGAGAGGAGTTCTTGTTTTTTCTTTTTCTTTTTATCATAAAATGGGTTAATGAAATAAGAATTTGTTATGAAATCTGGGCTTATTTTTAGGGTTAATGTTATACAAGCTATTAAGTTTTGGCCCAAAGTTACAGAAAAACCTTAAGTTTTTGTTTGTTTCTGATTTTCATTAATTTTAGAGATTTATTTTATATTTTTGAACTCTTATGATAGCGTAATATCCCTTGGCTCATGTAACATGTCAGGTTCAACACATTTCTTAGTATTAGTGGCAAATAGGGAATAAAAAAAAGTTAAAAGAGGTTTTTTTTTTGCAAACTTAGAGCCAAAATTAGATAGTTTTAATGGCATTAACTCTTATTTATATAAGAATTAATGACATAATTAACTATCAAGCATTGTAGGTGTCACTGTATAGTCTTATATTTCTAACTGTGTTATATTAGATCCTAATTTTTTGTGTGTGTATCGATTTGGCCATTGTCATCGTTTTTTTTTTTTTGGAACCGGCAAATAATTGTATTAAAAAAAAAACATAGGTCCACGCCTAGCAAGTAACTAGACAGGGAGGCAAGAGTACAATTTTACAGAATTACATACAAAGAAATGGGCAAACACACCAATCTATCCAATTAAAACTATTTTTGTCTCTCCTATGTTTAATCCATGTGAATACCATCGTCTTGATATTATCCGCCACCTTTGAAGGAGAGATTAAACCGTTATTAAACAACTTGTCACTTCTTGCCTTCCAAATCCACCACAGAGTACCATGACAGATACCCGTGAATATTTGTCTCTGTTTGGGACAATGTCCCACTTAGCCGCAAAATTAAAAATATCTCCGCCCTCGTTCCACTGTGGCATTGTAATACGAGTATACGACACCATATGAAGACCGACTCCCACACTGAATGATGTTGCAAAAATGCATCGTGCCACAAAGTGACAAAGGCAATTTCTTACCCACCTTTATCTACATGGTGTTGATTTGGCGTTCACATATTTTTTATGAATTTTAATTGTAGCTTTAAAAGGTAATCTTATAGTTATTATTATGATAGAAAATTAGTTTTGTTATCAATTTATGGAAACTAAACGGGACAAAAACCGTCATATCACACAAACTTGACACAAACAACACAAAATAAATTAGTTTGGATAATTAAATGTGTGACACGTCATGCCACGATTGGTTTATTTTTAAGCAAGTTTTTATATTTCTGTTTTTATATTTCTATAGGTAAATTGGACGGTCTCAAAACCAACACCAAATATGTAAAAGAAAACAATTAGGTTGAGTAGGTTAAGTCGTTTGTAACGTTGAAGCCACTTAGCCGTTTAGGTCAAGATTACATTTTCGATAGTTTTTTTATCGAAAAAAGTTTTTCCTTTCTCTCACTTAATCCAAGGTCCCATGCAGCCCTCGCTGCCATGTAGCCCCTTCTCCTCTCAAAATCTTGGTCCTTCCACTTACCCTTTTAACTTGCTATTAATTTTAGTTTTTCAATGTTTTATTTTCACATTCCTAATTCCTGCTCTTTCATTATAATAGTGTTTCAACCGGACACGAAACGACACATTTACAAAGTCTAAACCCTAAACCTGGTGATATGATAGGAACTCGACATGAAAATAAATTGTTTGTCACGACACAATACACTAATTAAACGGTTAATGTTAATATCAAGTTCTCTCAACGTGTTTACCTTTCCAACCGATAAAAACTCAACACAACATGATGACAGATCTATGGGAAACTCAACCCATTTGCATTCTTCCTTTAGCCCACATCCAAACCCATGAACCCATGAATCCAAGAACACATTCATATTTTCTTTCTTTCTCTCCAAAGTTATTTTGGTGGAATTATTAAAGATAAAATTACTCTAAACTTTAACTCCCTTTCTTTCTTTTTCTAAGGGATAAGAACTTAAAAAAGGTTTTATTTATTTCTATTTATTTCCTTACTCTACACTTTTTTATATTATGAACAATGTAAGCGGTGTTAGACCAATCCCAATCAACTATTAAAATAGAGGCATATAATAAAATAGTTCTCATTCCAAACAATCTTTAAAAAACACAATTTTAGTGTTTGAGATAGAATATGAAGGCCAAAATATATGATATATAAAACAATCATTTTGATATTTGGTTGGAATGCAAAATCAATTTAAACTTTAAAAAATCATCAATTTAATGTTTTATTGTAGGAATTGCTATTATACATTATATTAACTAGGAGGGGTATAAGCATCCAAGGATCTAAATAGCTTATGTCTGGTTATGTTATATGTTTAATTTCGTATATTATTTGCTAATTTGAATCTTTCACTAAACAAAAATAGGGATGTCAAAAAGTCCATAGGATCCCGAATCCGTGGGGCCACGATCCCATATGGAGGATATTTGTTAAAAAAATCCAAGGCGGGGGTAAGGTTAACTTCCGTTTTAATTTCGGGGGCATGGAAGGGGGGTATGTAGTCCCGTCTCGAACCCCTGATAGGGCTCCGTTAATATATTATATATATTTTTATATATTAATTATATAAATATAATAAATAATACCAATGATTTTGAACTTTCAAAAATCAACAAAAAATAATATTTTTAAGTTGTTAGTATAACGTTTTTGAGATGTGATAACATTTTTATTTTTAACATGTAAAATTATGTTATAAATAACTATTTTAACCAAAAATAACTTCTTTAAGCCCCCAAAACAACTTCTTTTAGCTTAATAAAAAATATCCCAAAATCAATCGAGGGCGGGGAAACAGGGGCGGGGGTGGGGTAATCCAGGAATTCGGGGACCAAGGCGGGGGTGGGGAGGTGAAATTTTCGAAGGCAGGAGAGGGGGAATGGGGAAATTCCGGGGGTGGGGCGGGGGATGCAATCCTCGTCCCGTTGACATCCCTAAACAAAAAGACATTCCTTTAAAAAGTTAAAGAAAAAATTGCATAAATGGTCTTATGGTTTGTCATTTTCTTTGGATTCAATTTTCTAAATTATGGTTTTGGTCTAGTTTGGTATGGATTTGGTTTTGATCATTTTGGCCTAGTTTGGTATGGATTCACAACCTCACCCCCACTTCTAGAGTTTTTTTTGTAAATGTAAGGGTGTTTTAAAAAAACCTGATAGAAATATAAATGTTTTAATGGTTTGTAGAAATAGAGGTGTTAGGTGCATTTCATACACCTATTTTGTGTAAATATCTCATCTTTTAGCATTGCATTTAGGAGCAAAAATCATGCATTTTTACTTATTTTTGGTTATCTTTAGTCTATCGGAGGAACACTTTTATTTTCACATTTTATGGTGGATTTCAGGTACATTTGAAGGTTGGAACGCACTTTGGGAATGCTAAGGAAGCTCGGGACAAGATTTGGAAGCAAACGGAGCGGAAACGGAGAATTTGGAAAATTCAAGGAGTACCAAAATAGTGGATTTCACACGGGGCGTGTGAAGTGGTGAAAAATAGGCATGAAAATCCACAAGGGGCATGTTGACCAACTCACCAGGCGTTGACTTCATTTCATACGGGGCGTGTGGATTTACATTGAATCCACATGGGGCGTATGAAACCTAAAATCAGCATTTCTTGAGCACTATACTTTTGAAGAATTTCCGATCATAGCAGTCTACTTCCTTCAACACGGGACGTGTGGATCCCGAAAACTGCATTTTGGCAGTTTTTCCTAATGACTTATTACGAGATTTTTAGGGTTTTTTGTCACTCTCTCTAATCTTGGATGACTTGGAGGCGATTTTTACCAGGAGTTCTTGCTAGTTTTCACTTGGAATTCATTTTGGAAACATTTGGATTTGTTTGTAAGTCGAATTAACATCATATTTCTCATTTCTAGACTTTGGATTCACGCTTTAGCCATGTCCGGCTAAAGCCTTTCATTTTTTATTCTGTACTACGATTGTGTTTATGCTTTTAATCATGTGACTTGATGTTATGTTCATGATTCTATCTAGCAATTGTAGTATCGTTTTAATTTAATGTTTGATTTAATCATGGTTCATGTTGGCCACTAGAATTAGGATTATTTCATTCTTGTTATTCATTTTTTGAAATTCGTAATTGTTTTATGAATTGAAAGTAAAGTACAAGCATCAAATTGGTAATTCTATGATGGGATGAACTGTGGTGTAAATACAATTGCATGTTCTTAGGTTTCCGAGCTTATGAGGAATATTGAACATTGTTGGGAACATTCACACTAATCTTAATATGGTTTTTCAATCTAATTCTAAGAGCTTGTTTAGGTTAGATTAGTAAAACTAGGTTTAGTATAAAGAGCTTATTTTGATCAAACGCTTTGATGAATGGAAAATGCTAGAGCTTGTTAGTGTTTTCAAGTACCAAATTAGATAGATTACGACTTCACCTTATTATGTGATTGAAATGCATGACACGTGAGTTTACTAAGGGATCAGAACCATTTTATTATCGAGTTACACGTTTTATTTGAATGTGTTAAATTTTAATTTCTATAAATCCAAATCAAACTCCCCTTATTTGTGACTCAAATACCTTCTACAAAGAGGTATAACCATTTATCTCGTGTCTCTATGGACCGACCCTAATTACCTTGTGCTACTTTCTAGTGAAAAGTAACAGTGTATATGGAGTTCATTTTGTACCCCTATCATTTGTTGGGTTTGACACCCTAACAAGAGGTGTTAGGAGGAGACTTCACCGCTATAAAGTTTGTAACACCAGT